CATAGCTAAGATTTGGAAACAGCCTAAGTGCCCATCAGCAGATGAATGGATTAGAAAACTGTGGTGCATATACACAATGGAATACTATGCTGCTGTGAAAAAGAAGGAATTCTTACCATTTGCAACAGCATGGATGGAACTGGAGAGCATTATGCTAAGTGAAATAAGCCAGTCAGTGAAAGAAAAATACCACATGATCTCACTCATTTATGGATAATAAAGACCATTATAAACTGATGAACAAAAATAGATACAGAGGCAGAGCAGCATTAAACAGACTGTCAAACTACAGAGGGAAGGCTGGGGAGGGTTGGGGGGATAAGAGATCAACCAAAGGACTTGTATGCATGCATATAAGCATAACCAATGGACACAAGACACAGGGGGGTAGGGGAGGCTGGGGGAAGGTCAAGGGGGGAAAAAAAGGAGACAAATGTACTACTCTTTGTAATATTTTAAGCAATTTTTTTTAAAAAAGCCTATGTGCCCCACACCCAGAAAGCATTCAAAACTGGCAAACCATCCCTCTACCTGAGCTGGCTGATATTTACAACCAGACTGCCTTAGCGGGGAGATTCCCAAGCAGCCAGAGGAGGAGACCATGATGTAAGTGACCCTAGCATCCCTCTGCTGGGAAAAACTGGCAGGCTGCTATCTGCAATTCTACAGAAGAACTGTGTTATCACACACCCCATAATGAATCCCTTCTTATCAAGTAAAACATCGTAGAACCTTCTCTGCTATTGATTACTGATGTCCAAGACAGGCAAGACTGCCAGGAAATGGTGCCGCCATTATGACGTCTCCAATAGCAATTCAACCATTCTACTTACAGAGCACTTTTCACCTTCAGCGTACTTTACAAAGATTAACTAATTAATCCTCATGCCCCTGAGGAGGCCATAGACATTCTATTAGAGACAAGCCCAGAAGTCAGGCCGACTCGGTGCCCAGCCTTCAGTCTCCAGCCTGTTTGCGCAGACAGACAGGCACACTCTCTGAAGCTGTTTCCCCCAAAATATATTCTGCATCAGAAAGCTCACAGAGGACATAGGAGACACTTTTATTTTTTCTTTTAAACAGACACTTATGGACCACCTCCTAGGTGCCGGCAGATTCATAGACACTCTCTCAATTAATCCTAGTAATTCTGTGACGTGGGGATCATGAAGCTTCTTTTACAGATGAGGTGAAATGACCTGAGAGAGGAAATGACTTGGTCAAGTCGAAACAACCAGCAAGTGGCAGAAATGAGATCTAAACCTGTCCCTCGGACTCCGGGACCAATAGGATCTCTAATGATCGCACAGCTGCTGTCACGACCGGACAAGCCCTGGCTGAGAAACAGCGTTCTGACAGTGTTTGAGGGGAAACCCAGATTAAATGGATCTGTTCTGTGTACCATCCAGCTTCCCTCACTTCCCAGGAGGACATGCAGAACTCCGGACCATGAGTACTGAAATCCAGGCGTTAAACATAAGGATTATGATTTTAGGTCACCTGGAGTCAAAGAAAAGAATAAATCCACACACAGAAGATGTTCATTACTGCACTGCAGATAAATGTCTGCCTCAGGCTGAAGCACACCATCAAATCTAAGGAGACTCAGATAAAAAATGTAGCAAATGGAATCTTTTCCTTAGAGTAAAGAATTACATATTACTACCATACAATAGAGAAACATTAATGTCATTCAAAAAATGTAGGCATGTGTCTCCCGATAAATGATAAATGACAAACAGCTCAAAATAAAGTCAGCAAGCAAAACCTAATTCAAAGGTATATCCATGTGAGAATTAACAGAACTATGGAGCCAAGAAATGTACATGGCAAAGGATCCCAACTCCAAGTGGAATACAGCAGGGGCCAAATGAGTAGTATTGACAATGAATGCCCGGGGAGCTTGAAGGAAGCATTTCAAGCTACAACGATCCTGGCAGGCCTGATGGAACAAGTGGCATTTAAGGTGAACTTCTGGATAGAAATAAAAGGGAAAATGAGAGAGAATCTCTAGGAAGATTAGCAATGACAGAAATTGAAAGACACAAGGCGGGGCAGGTGGAGAGTGAGAGTCGGGAAATATTTTTTCCCTATCAGTGAAATATTTTTAACATACCACCAATGTGTGTGTATTCATTTATTTATTAAAGTATGCACTTGGCCCTAGCCAGTTTGGTTCAGTGATAGAGCGTCAGTCCTTGGACTGAAGGGTCCCGGGTTTGATTTCAGTCAGGGGAATGTACCTCGATTGTAGGCTCAATCTCCAGCTCCAGTCAGGGGT